GTGAGTCAGGGCTGAAGGGCGGCCTCTGGTTCCCGAGCGGGAGGGAGTCGCCGGTGGAGGCTCGGGGAGGGAGTTCGCGGCCTCCGGCGTTTCCGGCTTTTCGGTTCGCGATCGGATGGCCTTTGGGACAGAGCGGCGCGCACTGTAAGTGCGGGCTGATGGTGGGGTGCAGGCGGTTTCTGCGCTTCCACCCCGAAGGCCCGTGGCGTCCCGCGGGAGCTGGGCGGGAAGCCGTGCAGAAGCCAGCGGGCAGAGGGAGGGAAGCGGAAGCTCCGCCGGTGGGTCCCGCGGGTCCGACCCCTGAACCGCGGCGACTCCGAGTGAATCGGGGAAGAGACCGACGGCAAGTCCGGAGATCTGGCTTCTGCGTTCAGATCCCGAGGCTCCACTTCTAAGTGTGTGAAATGCACGCGGCTGTACCCGGACTTAAAGATGTCTGTGATTGCGGATTTCTGTGAATTGATCAAGAGGGTGTCGGTTTCAGGAGCAGTTTTGAAAAGCCATGTAAAAGTGTCAGAACTCTGAAAATTGTCCAGAACCTTCGACTTGGGAACATAAAGCCGTATGTTGGGAATATGCTTCAAACGTATACATGTCACCTGTCAGTTCATCGCATCAGTTACAAAGAAGGGTTTCAAAGGACCGTAATGGCAAAAGCTAAGCAACTGGCTAAGCATGTTGCTTTTATGAGAACAATGTTAAATAACTATGTTTATAATAGAGGAACAGGGTTAAGTAAAAAAAAAAAAAAGTGGGAAATACAATAAAATACTCCAACACTAGGAGACTTTTCACACTCTTTGATGTTTCCCTTTGCTTTGTTTTCTGTATGAAAGCAGGTTCCGCTCTGTAGTGGGGAAACCGTTTGTAATAAGGTCCCTAGTGATGAGGCGCTCGAGTTTGCTTTCGCCCTGAAATGAACGTGCCCCGTGGACTGGGAGGCATTGATCTTGTGTGAGGGAGTATTGCTTCCTTGTCGCGGAGGAAGGCATGGACACAGACACTCAGATACCCCTTGGTACTTAAGTGTTAAGGGTGAGGGGGCATTCTTTAAGGGGGGGGGGGGGGGGGGAGGGGGGATCTCTTCTGAAGATGATGAGAATCAATACACGGAGTAACTTTGCACATGCACGGAGCTTACCTTCCTGGATACCTCGGTTCCGACAAATTAAGGGTTTGTCATCGGCCAAAGAGCTTCTGGGCAGAGGGAACAAGGCAGAGCTCCTGGCCCGGGAGCCCACTTGGTATTTCGGAAGCCTGTGTGGCTGGTGCGCAGGGACCTTGGTGGGGATTGGGGCGGGGGCTGGGGGGCGGAATTACAGGTCACGTAGGGTCATTGGAGGGTTTCGCTGGAAGAGGGCCAATCTGACTTTAGCTACCAAGTGTAAATATACGTAAGCGGGACAAAGCCTGGAAGTATGGGGACCAGTTAGGAGGCTATGGTAACAATCTAAGCAAAAGACAACGACGGTGACTTAGACCCGAGCTGTGCGAGTGGAGGTGGTGAGACCGTGTTCAGACCCTGGTGCAATGACTGCGCTTGACCCACCTGGGAGAGCACGGCATCTCCACGCGGTCCCGTGCCGGAGGACAGCGAGGTGAAGGGCTGTTGTGAGCCTGGGAAGACACAGCCCCAGCGGGCTGCCTGGTCGGAGGCGCGCAGCCCCGGTGGGTGGGCTGTACGGTGTCGGCACCCCTGGTCGGAATCCCCCGGGCTCGCCAAGCTCGGGGAAGGGGGTCGGAGAGCACTGGGCAAGGAAGAAACTGGCGCACGGGGGCGGGTCCCAGAAAGTGATGAGAAGGAGGCAGAACGCAGAACGCCCTGCCCTGGCTGGCGGCAAGGCACTACCTGATTGCCTACAAAATTTTCCTGTTCCAGGTCTGCCAGGAAATACTTGGAACAAAATATAGATCTCATGGAATCTATTAAGTTATTACTGGGTAAAGATGCTTATTTTGTAGGCAGCTTTCTCAAATTCGAATTATCTCGAAGTGAAAATCAACAAAAAGCCGATTACTCTTGATTTTGGAGTGTATATACAACAAAGCACCTCATAGATCCAGATTACTCCCCCCCCCCTTGGCATTTGTTTTCTCACATTTCCAATGGAATATGTCCACATTATAAATTATTTTACAGTAGCCTTAGCCGGTTTGGTCAGTCCATAGAGTGTTGGACTGAAGGGTCCCAGGTTCAATTCCGGTCAAGGGCACATGCCCGGGTTGCACTTTAAACCACCTTAAAATATTAAAATGCAGTGTGTTTTATAATGTTATAGATATATTTATTTAATTTACAGGAGCAATGGTTTTGCCTAGGGCGGAGCATCAGTGCATGTAGAATCATAGAATCCTTATCCTAGAAATTACCTTTAAGAGGTCTTCATCTACAGGGAGTCATTCATGACAGGCTTGTGTGTCCATAAACTCCTGAAATGTGTTGGTATGTGTATTCATCTCCTATTGCCATGCTAACAAATTACCACAAATGTAGTGTCTTAACACAAGGCAGATTTATTATCTCAGAGTCCTGTAAGAACTGTAGATATTTCTTCCTGTTCTGACACAGGTCAGACCCAGTCTCAGTGAGCTGAAGTCAAGCTGTCAAGGGCTGTGTTCCTTCTGGGGCTGCAGGGGAGAATCTGTTTCCTTGATTTGGCTCATGACCCCCTCCATCTTCACAGCCAGCAATGGGTAATGTCCCAGGCACCACGCTCACTGTCCTCCACACTCCTCTTGTGTTGCTGCTTTGCCTTCTCTGACACTGAGTCCTCCTGTGGCCCTCCTATCAGGACTCGTGATTATATCTGTCCCACCAGGATAATATCCCCACCTCAAGATCCTTAACTTCACATCTGCATTGTCTCTTTTGCCATATAAATTATAAAGTAACATTCCCAAGTTCCAGGGATTGGAACATGCACACCTTTGGGGGAGCCATTAGTCAGCCTACCACAGTATTCAAACTCTGAGGTATATGAGCCTGTGTGTGTGTGTGTGTGCGCGCGCAATTTTTTCTGGATATTTCCTCAAAATAGCTTTTCCCAGAATGGCTCTTCAAAGGGGTCCATGACTCAAAATAGTTTAATCACCCACTCCCACAATTTAATCACCGCCCCTGTCTCTTGTCGGGGATAATTAAGTCCCAGAGAGATTGACTTGTATAAGACCATATGAATGAGAGAGTATGATTTCCTGACATTCACTTTGACTCTTCAAACTATGGCCTATTGAAAACAAATGGAGGATTACAGTGTTCTGCCACTCCCTGCATGAGAAAGAGCATACCCGAGCTTTCCGGTCCAGCAAGTAGTCTGTGGCTAATAGAATCAGTGCTACTGGTGTTGAGTGGCTCAGATCCAGTGATGCCTCATGGAGCAGGGAAGAGTCACTTTGCTCAGAAGCACAATGCCTGGAAGGTGAGCCCTGGTGCATGCAGGTACAGTGGCAGTGGAAAAAGAGGGACTCGGATGTGATATGGCATCTTGTTGGAACTCGGGATGTTTTAGTTATTCATTGAAAAACTACACCCACAGGCCCTGGAAGTTTGATAATCCGCCTTCTGTTGCTGCCCTGCAGTGGAGTGCATGGTCAGACGTCAGGCTGCTGGGTTCCGGTTCCATCACTTACAAGTGTGTGACCTTTAGCAAATTGCTTGACTTCTCTGAGTCTTGAACGTCAGCTTGACTTGGCATTTGGTCCATTGCCCAGTAAGCAGTCATTGTTTTGGTTTAAAAAAATAAATAAAAGCCCTCATTTTGCTTATTTTGGCCAATGACCCAGTTGCCCATGTAAATGTGGCAAAAATCAGGCACAAGACACCGGATATATCAGCAATAATCAAGATAAATTAGAAAACTGTCAAATATTAGAAATGCAAGTCACACGGAGGAAAGTCAGGTAGGTCTCCCTTTTGGAGTTGTAGATAAAGAATATGCAAATATAGGTTACAGTCTTGCTTCCTCAAATGGATTTTGAATGCAAAGTTACAATTAATGAAAAAGCACAGTTTTATATGTCGTAGCTATAAAAATGCTCCCAGTACAGAGGTGCTACAAATAGTACTTATGATACTAATGATGATACAATAATGCACCATCTTTCCCTGGTTATGGCAGGATGACTCAAGACTTCCTTCAATGGGCTTCTCTCTTACATGTCACCATGAACGGACTTTTAATCCTGGTTTCCGAAAGGTCAGATATGTAAGTGTAGAGGCAGAAGTAGTGAAACGTTTCTGCATGTAGAGACAGAAAAAAAAAAGAAAGAAAATCAGAAAATAGAGACAGGGAAAATAGTGATACAAGACATGAAATGCAAAGAGGAGGGAGAAGGTAACATTTGTTAGCACTTATTTTAGGAAAGCCACTGTGCTATGCACTTTGCTTATGTTACCATATTTAATCCTTACACCAGCTCTGTGAGGTAGCTACTATGTACAATGAAATAGCACTGAAAATAGTAATTTTTGCACAGCTATTAAATAACAGAACCAAGATTCAAATGGTGATATAACTCCAAATTCCATTTTGTTTTAATAAGACAGATATAGGCAAAAAGAGACATTGGCACAATTATCAAATTGATTTTGGAAATGGCGTTTTGCATGGACTTATGTAAACACATAATAGAAGAAAGAGTAAAAAATAAAGTGTTAATGTCGTTCACCCTCCAGTTGAACACATAAGACCATCATTGAAACTCCATCATCTTAAGAATAAAGTATGTGTTAAGCAACCTGAATTGGGAGAGGTGCTATAATCAAGGTTTTAATTCAATGCCTCCTGGTGTGCTTTCCTCAGCCTCATCCACCTGGCCTCCAAGGAAGCTATAGTGACCTTGCAAGTCATCACCCATACAGAGAAGACTGGGTACTGAAATGTCCTTCCAGTCCTGACACGAAGGAATGCGGATGTGTTTGACATCTTCATTTCCAGGAACGAAGCCAAATAGTTTCCTTATGCGCTGCATGATGAGGAGGCGTGAGTGCTGCTCTGCAGCTTGCTCAAAGAGCTCCTTCTCGTTGCGGAGGTGGTTGGTCCAGTAGCAGTGCTGCAGGGAGGTGAGGGGAGAGCAGCACCTCACCAAGCAGCAGGAAACAAGGGTAATGATGGTTGCCAAGGTGATCAAAATCCAGCCCAGCATCTTCATGTAATTATTTAAAAGGAAAACAGAAAGCATCAATGCTTCAAATATTTAAGAAATAGCCATAGTAAGAGGGATTCCCACAAAACAGGACCAAACTGTGGACAAGGTATTTGTTTTTCTAGTTTTTCACGTACTAACAAGGTCATGATCATTTGATATGGATATGGGTATGATGGGGGTACAGGCCCAACCAGTTCAACTTGGTTTTTGGATTACAAAGGGTTTTGAATGAATTCTAAGTGTTGTCCTTGAAGTAGCAGACGCTATAACCCACCAACTTCCTTGCATAAAGGTACATACAGTATGTTCTTTGCTTTTAGCTCAACCTTACTTTTCAACCATCAGGTACAGGCCCATGCATTCTCTGGGGGCTTAATAAATATTTGATAATGATGGTGATGAAAATGATATCATAGATAATAATGGTAGCCTCCTAAGGCGTCTTCAATGATGTGCCAACAAGTATTCATTAATATTTCTTCCTGGTTTGCTCTTTCCTTTTATTTTTTTATGACCAAAGAAGAAAGCCGGTGAGCAGACTCTTATGTTCCTAAATGTATAACAACTTATTGTTTTCCTTTTCCTCTCCCTTCAAATAGTCATTTGCTGGCTAGTTTTATGACTTATTTTTGAAATATACTTTGAAAGGAAAATGAACTAGATTTTATTTGTAACTATTTAGTTTCCACCATTAAATATTGATGTTAATGGCTGTTTTCTACTCTTACAATCCTTCCCTCCCCGCCCCTTTTAATTCTTCTTCTTTTCAATATTCAGCAGTTGTTACATAAAGTGAGAGACACAAATTTCATACATTTGGGGAAGCCAGCAGTAGGCAGCCATAGTCTGGAAGGTGAAGGTCTCTTCCACAGTTTGTTATTCACCAACAGGCCTGGGATTACAGTGTGTGTACGCTAAGATAGCTGCCCTCTGTGGAGGCTAAAGCCTACAACGTGCTCATCACAATTAAACTTAATAGAGGCCAGCGTGGTGGAGGAAAGGCCATCTCAGATGCCCATTAATTCATCAGCTGTCATTGACTGAGCCCCAGGTTGACCTCCACCATGTGCTGTGCATGGAGCCCCAGGTTGACCTCCACTATGGGCTGTGCATGGTGCTTGGTTGTGAATAATTTAAGACACATTCGGTCTTAAAGACTGCCAAAGCCGCAGTCTTTAAGCCTAAAGAGAGAGACAAAAGAACAATCCAAGAAATATGGTAAAAGATGTCATTTTTTTGATATGTGTAAACACAGGGTTTTGGGGGAGCACAATGGAAGAGAAGTGGACTTGTTTCAAGGAGAAGAGTATCAGGGAATACCTCTCAGAGGAGGTGATGCTCACACTTAAATCACTAAAGAGGAGTTCAACAGATGCAAGAAGTTGAGGAGAGTTCCAATAAGGGGAGAAGACAGAAAAAGAAGAGCAGAAAGAGTTGGGGAAACCGCACAAGTTTGGATTCGCAGGGTCCTAGGAGACATGTGGGAAAGTGCTTCAGGCCTTCCTCCCACTCCCTCACCCCACTCCGCACACAAACCTGGCCAAGGCCACTTAATTTAAGACCATCATTCTTGTTTAATTTTAATTATATTTAAGCTTCCTGTAATTTTAGATATTTTAATTTATAAGAATTCATATTTAAGAATATATATGTAGCAAGATGAAAATTACTCATCTGGTAATAATAATTTTAATAACAATATCTAAAATTCATTGTTTTTACAGATATAGATTCTGGACACAGTACTGAGCACTTTAGATATATTAGCTGATTTATTCCTCACACCGACCCTATGCAGTTGATCCCATTAATATCCCCATTTTACATCCAAGAAAAGTGAAGCATGGAGAAGTTACCTAACTTGCTGAAGGTTTTGCAGGTTACTAAACAGCAAAGCAAGACTTAAACCCCAGGTCTGTGATGCCAAAGCCCCATATCCTAACTGTATTTATATAGCTGCTCAGTAGAAATCACTTTGATGATTGACACCTAGTTTGTGTTCTATGAACAGACAATATGAGAAGCAGCAGGATGCGAAATGTTTCCCATGATAGTTACTATGGGAGAGGATAACAGAAAAAAAAATCAAGAACTTACTTGTGACTGGTATCTGTGCAGAAGAGCTACTTCATCTCTTACCAGGATCATGTCAGAAGGAGCTGATTTGCAGCATGGAAACCCAGCTAAGATCTCCTCCCGTTTGCTGGCACTGATGTTGTCAAACACTGGGTAATGGTCCACAGTTACAAATTCACTTGCTGCACATTCGTAGTAGGTGCCTGTCATCAGGGTGGCCACCAGCCACGTCAATGGAGCAACGAGTGCCCTGCCGGTGATGCTGAAGAACCTGAGGCAAGCCAGCTTGCGCTCCGGGAGGCCGATTCTCCGGTGTGGAGGGGCACAGTGGCAGCAGTAGTCACTGGAAATTGTCCACATCTGGCTTCTCAGAGCATAGCCAGCAACCAGAAGGATCAAGGCAGGAATGACTAGGAAAGCAGAACCATAGTAGAAATTTTTCCCAACCTGACACGGACATCTGAATGTGGAAGAGGAGAACAGTTGCTGCCCGCCAAGAGTCAAAGCAGCAATTAAAGAATTGATCCATGTTCCACTTCTCTGCAGAGAAGACACGACGCTGTTGAGAGTTGAGCCCATCGTTGGGAAGCTCTTCCACCAAGCAGCGCGGAGCCCTTTCTGATCATTAGACTTCTCGAGCTGTAACCATTTTATGGGATCTTACTAGTTTAACTGGTTGTGTCAGTCAACCAACATCCTTATATGTTGAAAGGACCCTAGCATCTTCCCTTGTGCCCCTTGGGAGTCCTAACCCAATAAATGCACTTCCTTCAGATTACAGCTGGGAGAAATTGAAAGAGGGTTCATCTGGTACGAGAGACAGGAGTAACTTCTTTAGTGTATCTTCTCACTAAAGAGAGGATGGCCTGCTTGCAAAGCAAACAGCTGCCATCATTCCATGGGCTGCTCTGTGTGACCCAAAATGCTCAGCACCAGCAAATAGAGCACTGGAAGCAACACAGCAAACGTTCTTACCTTTCTACTAGTCCAGGATATGGCATGAAAATTGATGGAAATTATAAAAAACTAAAGTGACCCAAAAATTCACAGCTCTGGTGTGTCCATAGCCCAAGAGTTCTGCCAGAAGATTCCAAAAACTTTCCCAAAAAGAGCAGAACAAGGTTTGTGTAACCCTAAAGCCGAATCACAACAAAAGCATTCTAACTTTGCATAAAAATCTATTTGAATTGACAGAATCTAATATAATAATGTGTTGCTTTATAAATTAAGTTGTAAATTTGTTTATAAAATATATTTTGTTCTATGGAAATGTAATATTTGGGTATTAATAAAGTTATATATCTATAAAGAAGAAATAAAATGATCAAATTTTTTATAACTTCTATATAAAAGGCACCTGACTAGGCTTGGTTGGGCTTATAAAAAGTGAGTAAGATATTAGTTTCTGTTTTCAAAGAAACTCTCAACTGGACATGATTAAATACATAATGCGTGAATTGAAACATAATGCTGAGGAATTCATCCAAAGTGCAATACAAAAAGGCAAATAAATAACATATTTTTTAAAACCAATGAAAGAAAATAGAAGACAAATTAAGCAACTCCATGATCTGTTTATTTGAAGAGAAATAAATGAGAATTTTGCAGAATCAAAGAAAGTTCTCACATCAGAATAGTGTTAGATGGTATGAATAGTGTAAAGATAAATCCACATATAGACATGCCATAGTAAAACTGCAGAGTATGAAAAATAAGGAAATATTCTTAAAAGCTAGCAGAAAGAGGGGATACATAACCTATGAAAGACTTACAATAGACTAGCAGGAGACGCTAATCAGCAACAACAGAGGCCAGAAGACAACATAGAGTAACTTAATACCAGGTAAACAGTCATTCAAGATAGAGTGAAATAAAAATACATGAAACTAAGAGAATTTGCTGCCCACAGAACCTCAGTAAGAGGATTGCTAACATACATTTTCAGCAAGGAGAAAATGAACTCTGAGGAAAGACCTGGAGTAAAAAATAATGATGAGTACAAATATGATATTCTTAAGATGTTCCTTTAATTATAAGATGTAGGAATAACTACTCTTTAAAAGATACAACTAAGGCAATAGATGGTTATAAATATATATGACTACTAAAATGGCTAAAATACTGACCATACCAAATGTTGGTGAGGATTGCAGAGTAACTGCAACCTTCATACACTGATGGTAGGACTGTAAAATTGAAAAATTGCAGTTTCTTTAAAAGTTAACTCTACATCCACTGTATAACACATTCATTTATCTCCTAGGTATTTGCTCAAGAGAATGAAAGCATATGTTCACAAGAAAACTTGTACACGAATGTCCATAGCAGTTTTACCTATAATAGCTGTGAACGGGAAACAACACAATAACAAGAATAAATTCAAAATCATTTCCTAAATAAAAAATTCAAGGGAAGGAATACATAATGTGTGACTATATAAAATGCTAAAAAGTGTGAATTACCAGGTAATCTATACTGACAGAAAATAGACCAGCACTTGCCAGGTCAGTGGTCGGCAAACTGCGGCTCATGAGCCACATGCGGCTCTTTGGCCCCTTGAGTGTGGCTCTTCCTAAGCCTTAGGAGTACCCTAATTAAGTTAATAACAATGTACCTACCTATATAATCTAAGTTTAAAAAATTTGGCTCTCAAAAGAAATTTCAATTGTTGTACTATTGATATTTGGCTCTGTTGACTAATGAGTTTGCTGACCACTAGCCTAGGTTATGGGGGAAGAGAAATGAGAAAAGAGATTACCAAGAGGCATGAGAAAGTTTGGGGGCATTGTATCAATTTGTACCAACAGGATTTCAATTTATGGAGATGATTTCGTGATGACACAGAGAGGCCAATACCACTGAAAAAATAATTTATTACTTACATTTACCAAGAGAAAGGGGCATGCCAGGCCACCCACGGCCACATGGGGAAACACCAAGTTTGGTCAGGAGGCAGAAAGGCGGAGCGGAAAGCTTAGGCCAGAGCTTTTCCTGGTGTTTCCATGGAAAAGGTAAGATAGGGCAGAGAAGCCAGCCTGGGGCTGGCTAGTTTAAAGAATTCTGGCAGGCTTTGGGGCATAGGGGCTGTCACTACTTGTCTGGTACCAGGACCTGGGTTGATTCAGAGTAGGGGAAATATTGGCTTGTTGTATGACAGATGAGAAGGTGCTTCAGAGTATGGGCTCTGGATCACACAGGAGATGTAAATTACTTAGCCTATTAGTGTGGCCGTGTAATTATTGGATGCTAAATAGTCAAAGAATCTAAGATAACACAAAACAGAGTGATGGAAATGTCAATTATATTGATTGATTTGATGGCTTCACGGTTGTATACATAGGTCAAAACTCATTAAATTGCATATCAATTATATCTCAATACAGCAGTAAAGTTTTAGGTAGAATTATTAAAAAATAGAAATACAGTGTATAGGGCATTAAAAAAGACAGAGAAAACAAACAGAGAATATTGATAGGAAAAGAGATAATAAACAAAGGGAAAAGGATGGTAAAAGGAAAACAAAATAATGGTAGAAATGAGACCAAACACACCAATGTTCACACGAAAAAATTAAATAGCTAACAATTAATTACTGATGCTTACTCTATGGCAGGCACTATTCTAAGAACTTTATCTTATTTACCCTCCACAATCACCCTATGATGAAGTACTAGTATTATCCTCAGCTTTTTTACCTATGAGAAAACTGAGGTATAGAGAGATTAAGGAAATTGTACAGGGTCACACAGAGATGAATAAAAGAAACAGGATAGGACCCAGGTGGTCTGGATAATGCTGTTAACCACCACACCAGAGCTGGAATAAACTTACCTGTAGAGTGATTTAAAAATATTCATGCTGCTTACCAGCAATATATCTAAAACTAGGCCACACATAAAGCCTGAAAAACCATAAGCTCCGGGAAAGATGTATGGTAGCTGTGTTGTAGGCAGTTAGACAGACATGAGCAGAGCAAGGACCATGGGCCAGGTACAGAGGGTCATCAGGGTGGAAAAGCCCCAGCTGCACAGGACAATTGTAGGGTAATAGGACCTAACCCCAGGTGATTGGACCTCCTGACCTTTCCTCCCTAGAGATAACATCTAGATCAGCGGTTCTCAACCTGTGGGTCTCGACCCCTTTGGGGGTCGAACGACCCTTTCACAGGGGTCGCCTAAGACCATCGGAAAGCACATATATAATTACATATTGTTTTTGTGATTAATCACTATGCTTTAATTATGTTCAATTTGTAACAATGAAAATACATCCTGCATATCAGATATTTACATTACGATTCATAACAGTAGCAAAATGACAGTTATGAAGTAGCAACGAAAATAATTTTATGGTTGGGGGGTCACCACAACATGAGGAACTGTATTAAAGGGTCACGGCATTAGGAAGGTTGAGAACCACTGATCTAGATCCTAGTTGTATTTCAGCTCCAGGCCCAGATAAGCAATAAAACCAGCCAAGGCTGATGTCAGGACCAGCTGCATTGAATAATGTCCCCCTGCCCTGTGGCCAGCCAATCAATCAGTGGAGAACACAACCCAGAAAGGACACACCTGGAAAACTGCTGAATATTCTATTGAGATCTCCCCCTGGGACCTCCCCTAAAATCTCCACCTTAAAGCCCTTAGGACAGAGCATCTGTGTGCTCTCCCTCCCAGGAGCTCAGCCATGCCTTTCCTTCCCTTTCCCCCTCCCTGGAGGCCCCATTAGCCGCCTCACTCTCAAGCTCCAAGAGCCCTTCCTTTACCTCTAGAACTTGTTTCTTAAGCCCATTTCTTCTAGGAATTACTTCTTCTACCTCTGTCATTTACCCAGTAAATGCTCTCTTACAATTTGGGTCTGGACTCTGAATTCTTTCCTAGCCAGAACCCAAGTACGGAGGTTGCTGAACCCAGGTTTGGTCTGACTTCACCGGTCTAACATCTGGTGCCATTCCCGTTGCCTACAACAGCTGGACGTGGCTTCGCCTTGTCTGAGAGTTGGGGATGATCTCAGCAGCTGAGATTCTCAGCTGGTGATTATATGGCTGACGGGTTAGTAGATTTTTCTCTTTTAGCTTCTCCCCAAGTCTCTACTCAGCTGCCCAGGTACCTCCCAAAGGACCAGCATAGGGGAGTGGCCCAGCTCACCATTTACTTGGGTTGATTGACACTGCAGTGCAGTTATGATGAGCCTGAAGAATGCATCTTATTTTCAACCTCAGTCCAAATTCAGGCCTAGGACACTGAAAGAACTCTTAATAAAAGAGGAAAAACGTATGCATTATTTTGAAATGACTCTTGTTTCTAGTTTGCCGCCAGGACAGTCAGTATAGATCAGTGATGGCGAACTTATTTTTTTGGTTGATTTTTCTTTGTTAAATGGCATTTAAATATATAAAATAAATATCAAAAATATAAGTCTTTGTTTTACTATGGTTGCAAATATCAAAAAATTTCTATATGTGACATGGCACCAGAGTTAAGGTAGGGTTTTTCAAAATGCTGACACGCCGAGCTCAAAAGGTTCGCCATCACTGGTATAGATCATGTACATGTTTGAAACAACCTCCCTGCGTTCTTCTATTTAAATGAAGATCCAAGTGAGCCTTGTGTGCCCCAGGCTACTTCTTTTTATATGAAACCCAAGTACCAAAGTTGCTGAACCCAGGTTTGGTCTGACCCCAACGCCACTGGTCTGACACCTGGTGCCATTTGCACTTATTACAGCAACTGCATCGCACAGCCTGAAAACCAGCAAACCACTGTCCTGGAGGCCATGCCTACCGCTGAGCCTGCGCAGACTGTGCTTTTGTACAATAGTTCTGGCAGGGACCTGCCTGAAACCCTGTGGTCCTGCTGCAGGAAGAGCAGTGCTGCATCACGATGTCCATTCTCATGGTGGCCCTGATGTCACCATACCACACCTTTAGAGTTTTGTGAAATTGATTCCCGTACCATCTTGTGTGATTTCTAATCTATGATCTCTCCCCTCTCACCAAGTACACAAAACTTTTCTATGCTTTTTTCAGGGATCTCTCATGCAGAAGCCAGAATTGCCCAATACTGGGCCCACCAACATGCTGTCACCATACTAGTAGCTTTTGTGAATCTACCCCTAAAATATTTTTGTAATGTAGTTACAGTGTGTTCAGAAAAAAAAAGGTTTTTATATTTGGAATCAGCAAATTTAGCCTAAATCACTCTTTGTTGCCTACTAC